TTGTCTAGCTGGGCACTTATATATCTTTGAAATACACTATTAAATAGTGCAGGGGTAATAGATCATGCCCAAAGTTTGGGATTGTTACAGCAATTTCGATCAAAGCTCGGATATATTTCAGACTTTTTTCCCTTTATATGCTAATCCGCGAGCCCAACCAATAACTTATTAGTTGGTTTGATATTGATTAGTAATTAACTGACGGTGTATTGACTCCATCATTTCATGCTCCCTTATTTCACTTTCTCTCACCAATATATTAATCTCCCATCAAGCAAAATAATTTTTCTAGTCCTACTTATGCTAATAATACTGTAAATGCAAATCGCAGTGAGACACATATGAAAGTCTAAATTTTGAGGGTGCATGCACATAAACATTTAATTAACATATATACTTACGATAAAAATGTGACTATGATAACTCTTAGCGCGTTAACGATTTACCCAATACAAAAATTGAGCGATCTGTCCCGCATCATAAACTATTAACTATAAAATTTTAATCAGTTCACTAATCATTAATTCGATAATCCAATATCAATAAAACAATTTTGTGATTGGTTTATCGATTACGGTTCAATTTTAAACCATTGGACTTCTTTAGTTATATTGATTTACTAATGATTATAAAAAGGGTCCCTGGACTGCAATTTAATTAAAAAAATTAGAAGAGATTGTTGAATTTCTTTAACATAAGACAATCTTCTAGATATAATATTCTTGCATTTGTTTTTATACCCTCATTATTAGGGTTCCTTATTCGTCTACTACTCTGAAAAGTAGGTGTTTCAATCTTCTATATAACTTATTTTTATTGTGTTTAGCAAGTTTTGGTGTTAATAATACTACTTTCTATTGTGCTTGAGGTTAACTCACTTGAAACCACTCTTTGTTGTAGGCAGTAAATTAAATTCCATCATATACATGCTCACTCTTTTAAAATTGAAAATATATTTAAATATACTTAAACGTGAGTAAAATAGCATTGTACTTTATCAAATAAATCGTTAAATCTCTCTATAACTGTTTTTCTATATAATAATATTTTATAATATAACATTCAAGTTTTCTTTTCGAATTCTTTTTTCATTGTTGTTATCAGGGGCGGACCCACGTGGTATCCAGGGTTTCACCCGAACCCCTTTGGCAAAAAATTACACAGTATATATAAGGTAAATTTTATGTGTTTTTATAGATATATATATTTTGAACCCCCTCAATAACAAAGAGAAATTGATGGTGCAGTGGCAAGTATCCCAAAAATTATGTTGTACGTCACTGGTTCGAATCCCAGTGAAAGCGTTTCATTTTTATCTTATTCAGTTTTAGTTTTTTTTTTTTAATTTTCAGTTCTGTTTTTCAAGTTTTTTTTTTACTTTAAAAAATATGCTAAAAGTTTGGTTATAAACCCAAAAGAATTCAAAGTTTCCATTTCTAAAGGCATATTTACACGTTTATACTTTTATTTTTCGAACCCCCTGAACAAAAATTCTGAGTCCACCACTGGTTGTTATATATGATCTATAGAACAACATGTCGTTATAATAGTTATGATATGTCGTTGTACCAGATAAATAACGTCGTTATAAAGTAATTTGATTTGTATAATAAATGTAGATTGAGTTGTATTAAACAGGAATACATGGATCATTGGAACATAGGATTCCATGGATTATGGAATGTTATTGCACACATTCTTTTTATATTATTCCATTTGTAAAAACAAATACTTAAGTCCTAATGCCATGGTTTATCCAGCACAAATAACCCCAACAAAAACACTTATTAAAAAAAATTGTGTCGGAGAATCAAATTCTTTTAATGGCTTCAATTTCAAGTTTAAAGGCATAGCTCCATTTGGAATTAGGTTAATTTACCTACATCATATATTTATGACAAATTATATTAAGTAATTGTCATGATCAAGTGATTAAATTAACCAAAAATAAGTGATAGACATTTTGTGCAAATACATATTATATATGCATTTATTAATTTGATGTAAAATCAGTGTAATTCTATGTTCAAGAGCGAATCTAATGTGTAAAAGATGGTTTAATCCAAATTACTCGTATATTATTTGGGCTCACATTTTGTATTTATATATTTAAAATTAATTATAAAATATAAATAATACATTTTGAACTTGATAAAATTTTAGAGATTGTGATAGAATATCATATATCATACTCTAACATAAAAATTCAAATTTTGAATTTGCTTTTATTATATATGCTAGCAAATTATCATATACTAAGAAATCTTAATTCTCTTTTGGTGATTCGTACATGACAACTTTTAGCACTATCTAACAACTAATTAAATAAAATTCGAGGGTTTTAAAAGTAAGAATAAGCGAACATGTGATATAAAGGTGGTCTTTAGACCCAAGATTCTATGCCTTTTGAACCAATTATTATCTATTCAATAGTGAGGAATAAAATTATGGAACTTTTATGTCTAATCACCCTCTTTAACAAGAATTTTGACCTAATTTATGAAAATAATTATTAAAAAATATAAATAATGATATAATCTCATAAATAAATGTACAAAATTTAAATTTTGAATACACCTCAGCTCTTCCTCTCGTAGTCACTTGCAATGCGCCATTTTCTATTTTGTTTTTTTGATTTCAACTAATCTTGAACATAAATGAGCAGCACGAATGAACTTATATATAGTACCTGTTTTGTTTTAGTATCTTATCTCTACTTTTTGACTATAACACTATGCCTATTAATATACTTTTGGTATAATATATAAAATATAATATATCCTTTAATTGGGTATTAGATCACATATGTGTTTTGCAATTTCGTGTATGTATAAGTAGACACTTAAACTTGTAGAAAGTTGAACAAGTAAACACATGAGTCTTACGTGGCATATTAGACGTAGGATGCCACATAGGATGCTTCATAAAATGTGAATTGTCACATAGGACATCAAGTAGGACATGCATGTCTATTTGTTCAACTCCATAAAAATTTAAGTGTCTACTTATATATACCCAAAATTAGAGGGCGTAGATGTCAGATGAGACCGCGTTTACGGCCCCATGTATATGTACTATACAAAGGTTGATATTTAAAGTGGCATGAGTAGAGAGAAGCTAACTTATTTAAGCTGAAATTGGAAAAGTCACAAGCACCAATAGGCCCGGTCAAAGGTTGAACATCAGTAGGATTCAATAGGGTGTGGAAAATATTTTCCATTTTTTTCATATTTTGTTGGCTTAAATGCTTTAGAAAATGTTTTTCATATCAACTCATTTTTGTCAAATTTAAGGAAAATAACTTCCCTTAAAATATATATAGGGTGTGTATGGAAAATATTTTCCATTTTTTTCATGTTTCATTTGCTTAAATGCTTTGGAAAATGTGATATATAGGGTGTGTATGGAAAATATTTTCCATTTTTTCATGTTTTGTTGGCTTAAATGCTTTGGAAAATGTTTTTTATATCAACTCATTTTTGTCAAATTTAAGGAAAATGACTTCCCTTAAAATATTAATGAAAATATTTTCCAAAACTCTACTTCATCCTTCAATATTTTTTACCCTACCCCGTATGTCGTACGCAATCCTTGTCATCCCAAAAATAAATAAATTTTAAAATTTTCTTATTTTTTAAATTTCAAATATATTTTTACCCCTACTCCCAAACTAACCCCCAGCCACCCCCACCAAGCTCACATGTCACCCCCCACCCAGGATAATCAGTCAAAAAAAAATAAAAAAATATTTCAAGTTTTAAAAATTTTCATTTTTTACGCCACCCCCGCCCAGGCCACTCCATTAAAAAAAAAATTTAAAAAGGTTGTTTTTAAAAAATATTTCAAATCTAAAAAAAATAAAAAATTTATGCCACCCCCCCCTCCCCGACACCCCACCCAGGTCACCCCAGTCTAAAAAAGATTGTTTTTGAAGAATATTCATTTTTTATGCCACCCATACCCCCACCCCATCCTTCCAGTCGCCACCCCGTCAAAATGATTTTGTTTTTGAAAAATATTTTTCTGGGTCAGATCTCAGGGTCGGATTTTGAAACGATCATCGGGGTCTTGTCCTAGTTCGAATGTCAGGGTTAGGTCCTAGATCAATTATCGGGGTTGATTTTCGGATCAGAAATTATTTTCCTAAAGAGTATTTTCTAGTCTCACGCTGGAAAATATTTTTCATACACCAACCAGACATTAAAAAATATTTTCTACTTACCAAACATGAGAAAATAAGTTAGAAATCTACTTGTTTTCCAAGAAAACATTTTTCTTCCTTCCAAACACACCCATAGTCTTAATCTAGCAATGTGGTTCAGAACATGCCATTGTTGATCGATGAAATTTTTGTTTTAATTACGAGAAGTGATTTCAAGGTATCAACCCTTCCACTACGGTTGATATATGATAACAACTTCCAAACCCTATAAGGAATACTTTAAACAATAGACCTATTTTTACATCCATCAAATTACACTACTTGCTTGACCTATTCTATATAAACCATATAGGTGAAGCTAATGTAAGTCATAGCTATTGATATTGACATATTTGAGTATTTTGTAATAGATAGTGATATCACAAAATGATTAAGCTATAATAATTACCAAACAATGGATGTGGTTATTAGTAATATTAAAGTTCGTTTAGAAACTATTTTCAAAAAACAATTACCAAACGCATTCAAGAGTTCGTCTGTCCATTCTATTTATTGATTTCATACTCATGTTCTTACCTAACACGTCGAGCAAGAATGAAGGACCTGAAATTTAAACACTATTACAACCCCTGTAACTTTGGCTTAGACCATGTATGTGTTCAAGAAATTACTAACCGTACAAACAATAGGTTTCAAATCAAGTAAATTAGACGGGATGTGGTAGAATTTTGAGTCCAAATCCATATAGAGTTCAAATCCTAGATTCACCTCTGACCAAAGGCACATAGGTCGGGGGGGGGGGGGGGGGGGCATTATCCAAACACAACCATTGTATTACTACTACAACAAGAGTAATATATTAAGCATGTTTCTTAGGAATATTCAAGCTATCAATAAATAGATTTCAGTTACTTCCACTTCCAGATAGTGTACATATTTTCTTAAACTGATTTTACTACAAGCTCTCTAAACCTAATTGTGACTATATTCCAAAAAATCACAAGGGCGAGTAAGGTGTGTGAAAGAATAAAACTAGATGACAAGATATTACACATCTAATTCTACTATAAGCTAAATTGTCTTGGGTCAAAAAAGTACATTAATGTTCAGGGAGGAAAATTTGTACTATCTGGAAGTTAGTTTTCTCGAGGTAGCTTTGACTGTGGTTTCATACTTGCTCTCCGAGCTACATCCCATGCCTTTTGGGGGATCGAGACACCAGCCTGAGATGCAAAAAATGACTCGTACCCAGGTGAATCAAAGGCAAAACCAGTATGTTTTGATTTCTGTCCGGGAAGTTGTCTAATTGCGTAACTCCTTGCTTCTTCAGGTGTAAGATCATTTCCAATCTCTAGTAACCCCATCCTACTGTCAATTTCATGCCTATGAATTTCCTGAACGATCTGATAATCATAAGGGAAAAACCATCTTTGAACCCTGGAAAAAGCAACTAGTAATGTTAGGCAAAAGCAAGACTATCAAGTTTCAATTGTTTTATAAAACAAAAAATTAACATATTAAAAGCAAGAGCATATAAGGGATTTGGAAGGGGGGGAATGTAAATATGACAGTCATTTTTGGTCGTACCAAGCTTCCAGTGGAATCAACATTATCTGTGCCAATTCCTAATTCAAAGAATAAAGCAGATCCTACTGATTGGAATTATAATGACTGTGAATGAGATGACATAGCAAAACTGCATCCATGCGAACAATGTAATCCATGCCCCCTTCATAGGATTAAACCACCACGCTTAGCAGGATAGATTGACAGACTAATTCTTGGGGCATAGCAAGGTATTCTAGAAGTATGCTACATCTTAAGAATTTCTGTTTGGTTCATTTCATAGGATGAAACACTAGGTCTGCTTACTAGTGATGACTTGAATTTTATATTGTATGTTTTATGTATATTTCCTATGTTTGAATGGGTAGTTCGATGATCTGTTTGTGGAAGTAGCTGAAGTAATGGATTATTGTGATATAGGTACAATTCAAGGGTCAAATGGAGCTAAAGGAGCTATTTAGGGCCAAGACATGGAGCAAGAAACAATTGAGTGGAATTGAAATTACAAGAACTAGATGCAATAGATAGTGCGAATTAAGGCAAGAGATGTTAGAAGTTAGAGTTGGGAGAAACAATTTGTACAAAGTAACACATAACCTTACTTCGCAGAGTTGTTCATGATCTATATGAACTTTGGACATGCTTTATGGACCAATACTTTAATTCTTGAAATCTAGTTCCAGTGGTCCGATCAATTAGTAATTCGGCCTTGCCTATGCAAAATTTATGTTCATTCTATCAAAGTTGCGCTGCACGGAATACAACCAGGGAACTGAAGCATGAACTCCAGAGTAGCCTGGAATCATCAAGTTAGTGCAATACACTGGGCTTGGCACTTTGACACAGTCCTTCCATATTTTCTCATACTTAGGCATAGATTATTTTTTTATTTTTAAAAAAAAATTGGTAATTTGTATTCCTCAGCATGAAGGGCTATGCTGGCCACCTCCAAATAGAAAATCAACAATGAGCCTAGGAAACGCAAAGTCTCAAACTAATTACAAGGATCCTAGGAAATCTACCAATTGAATTACATCATCTATATTTCCTTCTTTACACCAATAATGGAAGTTTCTATCAGACTTTTTGGAGGTTCTAAGGATTCTATAACATATAGGAGAAGATCAACAGAATTACAAAGATTTTTTTCTTTTCCTTCTTTTCTAATTGTGATGTTTTCTTCAGATAATCTTGTGATTTTGTTGTGGTTATGCTTGGTGAACTCTTAATTATAGAGTTATGGTGAACTTGTCATGAATGATATGCATCCTATTGTTAGTGAGGTTACTGATATCGTTTGGCAGCTCTGCCCTAGTATGAAAGGTATAACATAGACAAATCCCACAAACCTGCAGACCTACTAACATGCTGGATCTATTCTGGAAGTTCGATTGTGCAGAAAAAGTGATGGAAGATGGTTTCAGCTTGCATCTGGAGGAATATATGGAAGGAGAGGAACATAAGCAGAGGTGGATCCAGGATTTGAACCCATAGGGTTCAGCCTTTAAGGTTCTTCACATTTACCCGTTATGATTTTAAAGTTATGGGTTCATATCTACAATTTGTTTATAAGCTTATTGAATTTTTACTCATAAATTTATGCTTTGATTCAAATTACCGAGTTCAGATGAACCTGGTACCACAACGGTGGATCTGCCCCTAAACACAAGGTTGTTTTGAAGGATCTAGCAAATCTCATCCAGAAAATTAAGTTGAAATTGTCTACTTTTGTTTCATTTTTTATGTAAACAATTATTAGATGATGTGGTTTCACTGTTAAGACACCATAGAGGTCTAAGACGAACAAGGACATTTTTTGCTTTTTGAAATATAAACATGGCTAACAGCACACCCTTTGTGCTCTCACTTACTATAAGATTGTTACCTTTCTCAAAAAAAAAAAAAAAAAAAAAAAAAAAAAGCATTACTCTAGTAGTTAATTGGCAAGTCTTTGAGGGAGTGATATCTTATTCACATTATATTACTTAATCAACTGCTCAAGGTACCTAGCATCTGCACTGGTTCTCGCTTAGGGAGTGCTTCAGTACAAGCATTAAGATGCTAGTGTGGGGGTCTCATCCACCATGGCTTTGTGTTGAAGAGGGCTGCACAAGATAATAACTATTGCACTTAACTATAACTTTTTTCAAATCATTTTTTTCATGCATTGCTAGTATCTTTAGTATCATATCTTTTTTCTCTTTTATTTGTGCCTTTTTCTCATCAATCTCATGCTTTATTTGCAGTTGGTGCTCAAAACAATAGACCTCAGCACCTTTGTTTTAACTTTTCAACTTTGGAAACACTGGATCCAAGGAGCTAGCAATAAAAAGTTAATCCAGCAGCATGAATCCAACCGAAAAACGAAATTTGTGGTAATCAATGAAAGGCAGAGTATGGCCTGAGCCAGTTGCAAATGGTTCAACTGCATGTTGGTTCATGCTTAATTAAACTGGCAGGATGGTTACACAAATGGGGTTGGGTGTTCTCGTGCACAAACAAATTTTATTATCAGTAGACTAATATTTTCTTCAAACGAAATTCAGATTGATTTGACAATATAGTAACACAGTCCAGCTAAATCCACAATACTGAAATACCAAAAATAACTTTGTTTCGACACATAAAATACCTATCATAATATTAGTTAAGAGGACTTGAAAATTAACTTTAAAAAAAAAAACTTACCCCTGATAAATGAAGTCACCAAAAAGAGCAGCAACAGGTACAAGGAGCAGAGAGAGATAGAAATAAAATGTGCTCATCAAGGCATAGATGACCAAATAGATATTCTTCTGCAGTGGGGAGAAATATCAGAAATATTAGCATATGAACACTCACAAAAATACATTACATAAGTGACTAAACTCACCTGTTCTTTTGGCAAGGAAATACCCGAATAAATAAAGACAAAAATGAACCACAATAATATGCTCCCTCCAACAGTGATGTGATGCCATCTTGTAATTGTGTCGCACATCATAAGCAGACGCAAATTGACAGTTACAACAACACAAGTGAAAGCCATTGTACTGACATCCCACAGGCCAAATATCTTGCCTGATGAATTCATGCCCTTTGTACTCGAATCAATTACAAAATAATACAAGACCAATGATTGATATACTGCAAAGAAAGCCCAGATGACCACAACTCTCCATCTGAAGAAAGTATTTCTTATTCCTTCCTTGTATAGCTCAGGATATTTCTTGGAGAGGGAAGCACTGACATCCTAAATACACAATAGAGATGTAGCAACAGACAACAAAAGAATAACATAACAATTAGAGAATAAGCTGACTTAATTGCCATCATTCATTGTTTAGCAGCAACAAAATATAACTATTACATACCTTCTCAAAAAGCCCAAGAACAATAACAGGAAGAGCTGTGAACATCACATTATAGAGAGACTGGAACCAATCATCATAGAACCTTTGACCGGAGAATCCAGTCCGGAAGGTAAACCAAAATTGAGTCAGGGTAAATGTAAGATTCTTGTAATAAAAATATGTGACAACCTGCATGAAAAAACATCTAGATCAGTATTTACCCCAAAAGATATCATACATTTTTTGTGAACAAAGAGTAAAGGCAAACCTTGCATATTCTCAGATATGACCAGCGTCCATGGACAAGCAGTAAATCAGCGAGAAATCGGAACTGAGCTATTGCGAAATCACTAGCCATCACTGCTTGCATTCCCTCCTGTCCACTTATTCCAACACCAACATGAGCAGCTTGAATCATACTTACATCATTAGCTCCATCACCAATGCTGAGAGTTATTCTGTTTGCCCCCTTCTTAACCAAGCTTGTCACCTGAAAAGAAGTGGAAGAAGTCGCTAACACCTGATCACCAAAGGATTTGCAATCAAGAAACTCATCCTAACTTCAAAAGAAATTACAATGTTTTATCAGTAACTTGAAGAAATACACTGTTGAAACTAGAAAATACCAAAGTGATACCTGAAAAACCCTAACTTTATATAATGAGATGGGAACCCCAAAGAGAAATTTCAGAACATTATATATCTGAGGATAATGAGGTTTGGTATGTTTTTTCCAGAACATAAGATGTCTAAGATTGACGAACTCTTCTCTTCTTTTTTTTTAATATGTTATCCCGAGAATAATGAGCTTTACTAAGAAGTGATATAGCAACTCTCTTTCTTACACGAGACAGAAAGTGTAACTACCGAAACTCTTTCAACTTTCGCATCTTTGGATAAGTATTACGGTTAAGTCAGTTTACAAGATGAGAGTCGGAAAATTGAAATAAGAACTGCCAAGTGATTCTTGAATGCTTCTACTTATGTAGATGGAGTCCAGTACACTACTTTATATACTGATAATTCCCAAGACAATATCAGGAGTACCCATCTTATGTGATATGTAACTAGATAGTCAAACTCTTTCCCGCTATACCCAGCCGATTCTCGAGGACAAAAGGTATAACATTATATTTTAACAGACAAATGAAAGCTAGGTCTCTACTCCTTCATGAGGAAGAAAGGCCTTGATATCATCTAGATCGACGTATTGAAATGGAACTCAGATGATGCCTAAAATAAGTACATAGACTCAAAAAAACTTTGGTTCTCTATCTAGAGTTGCATGACGGAATAACAGAGATAAAGATAGATGACTCTACCCCCATATGTTCATAAACCAAGCATGAACAGCTCAATTTGACGATACTACAGGTCAGTTTGACAATTCCAAGGCCGATAATGCTGCAATAGGAATAAATAAAGTGACATTCAACAGAACCCAACTTTCTTGGGACTGAGGCGATGTTGTTGTTGTTGTCTATTTAACAGACAGAAAGATAGTCATAGAATGACCAAAGGCAAGTTACTACTGTTGTAACCATTCAAAAAAAGACCACCAACATGACCTCACCTGTGCTTTCTGCAAAGGAGAAACACGACAGCAAACCACTGCACTGCAATTTAAGCTTAAATTCAACAGCATTACACGAAGACTCGGGTCTAGTGCATACATCAAACACTTCCCATCAATTACTAGTGCTAATTTTGGTCCAGAAACAGAATGAAGATGCTCTTGCGCTTCCTCATAACATCTTTTAAGCTCATTCTGCACTGTTTCTTTCATAAAACGAGCAAGCTCCACTAGATCACCCTGCGGATGAACACAAAACAAATTGTTAAACAGTGTATATTTTGAAACTGACAAACATGAACATTGAAAAGTAGTGCTCACTCTATCTTCCACTTCTCTGATTGCATCAGTTTCAGAACTAATGATAAATTGTTTCATGCTGTTATTGATTAACTTGCATGCTGCAATAGATACAAATGAAACTAGGATAAGATGGTGCAAGTAGAATCAAGATTTAAAAAATGATAAAACTGTCTATCATCAATGCGAAATTGCCAACCATAAGCTATATTTATCGCTGTTTCCAATTTGTCACCAGTAAGCACCCAAATCTTAATTCCAGCCCTTGAAAGAGTTTCTATGCACTCAGGTACACCTTCTTGAAGCTTATCTTCTATGGCAGTGGATCCAATCAAGACAAGTTCCTTTTCTATCAGTTCTGCCACCTGTAAAATGCTAAATGCTTAGACTCTTTTGACCACCAACAAAACATTGACATCAACAATAACAGGAGTTAGACTTCCAAGTTAAGCACATAATTGTGAGGGTAACAACAACTATGGTTATATAATTATCACCCAATAAATTACTTCCATCCATTTATATTTTGTGATTTAAGAATGGAGACAATATGAATAGGAGCTTAAAATTTAAAATAAACCATTTAGTAGTCATATTTTATGCAGGTGATAGATACATTATCCCAGTCTCTAGGATGATCACATTTTTTTCTTCTTCTTTGTTTGGATAAAGAGTCTAGAAAGATTACAGTTGGCAAAACAACTTCAGGTGTGTTTCTCAAGGCAGGAACCAGGGTCGAGAAAAAGAAAAACAAGAAGCTTTTAATAATCAGGACTACACAGTGCAATACATGAGCAGTGTATTTGGCATCACAAACTGACAAAAGAAAACCAGCTCTCTTTAATTAAAAAAATTGTTCGATGATGAGCATATTATGGCTAGAACAAGCAAATCTGATGGAAATTAGGACTTAAATGCATAAGAACATAATTGCACTTCGCCACTCAAACTAAAATGACATCACTACAAAACAGATGGATAAACAATCAAGACAAAAGTCAATCCCAAAAAGAAAGCAGAATCAGAACAATTAAAAAGGTGCAAATCTGGAAAGAAGATACAAACATAAAGGGAAATACATCACACTATGCTAACCTCATCCAATTTCTTCTCACGGTCCCGGAGAGAAGATTTTGCTTGAATGAATTTCTCATTCCATTTTTCATACTCATCGGGGGTTACATCTCTATAAGCCAAGCAAAGTGTCCGAAGTCCAGCAGCCCCAAATTGCTCCAAGTGTTCCCTAGTTCTTTTCCTCAAATCATTGTCTCCGTCACGCAACCTCTCATAAATTACATTATCTGCACCCTGAGAAAAGTAGACTATGATAATTTTCTTACTAGACTAATCTCCTAGAATGTATCTTTACATATAAAGTTCCTACCTTACAGTAGAGAACCAATCTGCCTTCAGGATAGCGACATACAACAGACTGGCGCTTTCTCGTACTAAACACGAAACAAATAGATAATGGTCAACCAAGTTACCATCATGCAGGTAATCAAAATTGATATACAAGCTAGGATGTACTGACACCTGTTGAATTCAAGAACATTTAGAATCTCATAAGGAACATCTTGAATCTTCCCCATCTTTTCAACATGTGACTCACGCACATAAATCATAGTTGGTGTACGTCTGCAGAAAATTTTATAGTCATGGTTAAAAGTGACCCAGCTGAAAATAGAAAAGATAGCAGTAACAGTTCCACAAAGCAGTATGACAAAACTCTTTGCAGAATCTGACACCTCGAAGATGTTTAGTAGAAGAACTCTAGTCCTAACACAATGTCCTTTGGATAGATATCTTCCACTAACCATCGCACAGCTAACTTTTCTTTTGTTTCTTAAAGTTGGTCTATTACTCGCCAAAAAAAAAAAACAATCTAAGTTCATCAATATCTGAGAAAAATAACGCACGTGACTCAGAAGTAGCCCACCATAAAGAAACAAAAACTATCTATTTTATTAGCCTATCCATCAATTGGAACTCTCTCCGCCCCTTCCCCGAGAACTCACCTCTGAAGCTGGCACCAGGAGCGGCACCTTACTGCAAATGTTGCGTGATGATTCTCTCATAACATGCTTGAATTAAATAAGTAAATAACAGCAGGAACCGGATACTACAGTGGCTTTCTGATGACAAGTACTCTCCAATCAGATAATGACTTACATATATCAGCTCTATTCTCTTCACACATGCCGGAATAAAATAACAAGAGAAACCAGATTACTGCAACAGCGTCCTTACGACGAGTGTGCTCTCATCAGATAAGGACTATTTTCACTACTTTGATATGTAAAAAAACTGCATTACTGAATCTTCCAACCTAATGGTGTATGTTAGTAACCTTCTACATTTATTTCATAGACGAAGTTTCAACAAAAGAGAGCCTTAAGGCAGACAACACAAATGTAACAGAAATTCTAAAGACACGCACTTGTAAAAGAAGAAGCCAAAGTTCTTTGCTGCTACAACCAAAGCAGACTCATCTGGGGATGCTGCTTGATATCGTATTTTTTCTGGGGTCTCTTCACCTTCAGGAAGAACAGTATGGCATATAGCAAGGCATTTGAAAAATTCCTGAACAAACAACCTTGGCCTCATTAAACTAGCAATGTAGTTGCTAGATAAATAAGTTTAGTGTACCCATGTGAAAGCTTTCTGCACAAGGACAACTCAATATGAAGCTGAAAATTTACACACAAGAAGATACCCTGCAAGTTTAAACTCCCAAGTCCCTTCATAAAATCTTACCTGTTCTTTTTCCATCATCTTAAAATAATTTTTTCTTTCCTAAGAAAGAAAGTTCTATGATATATTATATGATAGAAGAAGTTACATCCGACTCACTTCAACCCTCGTAATATAATGTTATCTATTTTGATACTATACAATCAAAAACACAACTAGAAGCCCATATTTTCCCCAAACAAAACCAGATCACATATATCAAGTCAAACATGGACATTGAATTTGGAAAGAAATGGAAGTACAAACCACAAAGTGCTATACTATTAATTGAAGCCTTAGATTACAATTGTGGAACCACTTCATCTAAAAGTAGCAAGGAGGAACTCTTAATTGCATGATCTGCCTCTCTAAAAAGGTTTATGTTATTGAAGGATACTTTATTGTTTGTCTAAGTCTACACAGAGATAATTAACATAAAAAAAATGACAGAGAAGAAAGCAAGACGATAAAGAAATACAAATTTTCACTACTGATCTAGTGTTGCTTAAAGATTTGGGTGAATTTGATACCACAAACTTCATAAGTAAGAAGCGGAAAAACTTAAGATTCAATTAAGAAAACAAAATATTATAAAGACAGAATTTTATTTTATTTGTTTATCTTTTAAAAAGCTAATCCGTGATATTTGATTGTTCAAATGTAACAATTATTACTATAAAAGGAACTCATGTTCCCCTTTTCTTCCACACATGATAATCAAATATTTACCCTGCATGAATCAGGATTAGGTTCATTCCTCCAGGCACCTCGCATCAGCCTAGCGTCATTAAAATTGAAACCTTTCTCTCGTGCTTCTGTTGATGATTTCTTAACCTGTAACAATTCTCTAGATCAATACAAGACAGAGCCATGAATCTGCCATATCTTGCCCAAGAATATATTTACCTCAACTTTCAGCCCATTTCGCTGAGCAGTTCCCATCTCAATTTCACTAACACCTGTACCATATATCTCTCCACCGATTGAACACTTGAAAAACTCCATCAAGTTCCTCGTAAGAGTTCCAGTTTTGTCAGAGAATATGTATTCCACCTGTCCATAAAGTAGTTGTCAATGGCTCAAAAACTCATTTGTTAAGAACACACTGCGTTTGCTGAGGGGAAAAACTGAAGAAAATACTGTTGTTTACTTCTTGTGCAAAACTACTGTTAATGTTAGTGCACATAGAGGTTGTCTAAACAAATTAATTTCAACAACCACTTCATAACAGCATTAAACATTTACCTGCCCAAGCTCCTCATTCAAATTAGATGTTCTTGCCTGAGCAGCGGTATTACTCTCAGCATGGTACATGTGCAAGTCGTTATTGATGAATTTATTGGATTGTACAAATTTAATCATCTGAAAGTGAAGAACAGAAAAGAGAACCAAAGCGGATGGAATATTAGATAAAAATTCAGCAAAGCAACAAAATAAAATACAATGAAAACTGACATAATCTACCTCAACGGAGACATAGAGAGAGATTGGAATAATCGGTGAATACAAAGTGATTAAGGTGAACATGGTCAAAACTGCAACCTGAGCAGACAGCAAAAGAGAAATTAGAGACAGAAATATAACTACTGCACAGCCAAATGAAAGATGATCAAGTCAGAAAATATATGATTACCACAAATCTATTGTCCGGGTCGGACTGTGGATCTGCATTTTTGCCAGTTTCGAAGCGCAAATAATAATACTTCTTATCTATAAAGATACCGCTGCAAAATTTCAAGCAAATCCAAAATTTTCAGCATGGAGGAGAATATAACAGAAGTTCCAACATGGCAGAATGGGTATAGCAATTGATCAAACCTGCCTATGGCTCCCAAGAGACACATGCACAAGAGAGTGCTAAAAAGAGCGATAATAAGTTTGTCAAGTTTCTTCTCCAAAGTGCTTCTCTTGGAAGGAATTTTCATAGAATTCATCATAACCTGTAGTTAAACTCATTTGGCAGAAGCAACTGAGAATAAGAACCAAAGTGAACAGCCAAGCAACAAAGGCCATGTGAGAAATATATGAGAAGAATATTATTGAATTGTTGTGTTGTTAACATTATTACATTGAGACCCTATTTATAGACCCTAGAATACAATCCTTTCCCAAGTAGGATACTATTTAGTATTCCTATTTCTATTTCTATTACTATTCCTATTCTAATAGGAGTGTATAAACCTATTCCTATTCAAATAAGATTGTATAAACATCAAATAGGATTGTATAAACATATTCCTATTTTAATAGGATTGTATAAACCTATTCCTATTCTAACACTCCCCCTCAAGCTAGTGCATACAATTCATGTACCTAGCTTGTTACAAATGTAATTAACACGAGGACTGATGAGGGGCTTGGTGAGATATCTGCAAGTTGATCACTCGACTTCACAAAATTGACAATCAATCTCAATGTGTTTGGTCTTCTCATGAAATACTGAATTTGATACATAATGCCGATAAAACACTGAGTGATAAAATTACAGTGTTGGAACTTCCCAAGCCAAGCTTGCAAGGACTGTTTCAGACCATAGAGTGACTTACGTAATCAACATACAAGGCTACTAAACTCCCCATGAGCAACAAAATTAGGTGGTTGCTCTAATAGACTTCTTCACAATGCAACGGTCGTTGTAAGTGCTCAAAATCTAGTATAAAGTATATGGATCATGTTGAAATCAATAGACGAGTCGATATCAAACAAGTCACCGAAAAACTGGCCAGAACATGCTCATATGTCGGAGTATTAGATTTGATGGCTAAAAGTGGTCACAATCTAAGAAATAAAATTACATGGGTAGGGTCAGAATGATGCCACAACCCAACTAGAAAATAGAAATAATATAGGATAGTTCGAATTGATGGAACAACCCTATTGAAAAAGAGAAATAATATGGGTAGGGTCGGAATGATGGCACAACCCTGCTGAAAAAGAAAAATTATACGGGTAGGGTTGGAATGATGGCACAACCCTACGCAAATCAGATTTGAGGAGTCACTAGAAAGACGAATGAAACTATGCAAATCAAATTTGAGGAGTCACTGAAAAGACACATGATGCTATGCAACTCAGATATGAGAAAATAGTTCGGAAAAATCCACGGTACTACACAAATTAAATATGAAAAGTAGTTCGGAGAGATGCACAGTGCTACGCAAATCAGATATGCAAAAAAAAGGTAGTCACCGGAAGGATGTCACGGCGCTACACAAATTATATATGAAAAAGTAGTCACTGGAATGATGACATAGTGCTACATAAATTAAATATGAAAAAGTAGTCACCGGAATGATGACACAGTGCTACAAAAATTAAATATGAAAAAGTAGTCACCGGAATGATGGCACGGTGCTACACAAATTAAATATAAGAAAGTAGTCACCGTAATGATGGCACGGTGCTATACAAATTAGATGTGAGAAAATAGTCACCAGAAAGATACACGGTGACCCAACTTTTGCTAACATAATTGTTGGCCAGATGGGCGGCATATATGAGTAATAGCCGCCCGCCGGCAGCGGAAGCTCTTAGATTTTCTACCAAGATCGTAGAGGCTCTGATACCATGTGAGAAATATATGAGAAGAATATTATTGAATTGTTGTGTTGTTAACATTATTACATTGAGACCCTATTTATAGACCCTAGAATACAATCTTTTCCCAAGTAGGATACTATTTAGTATTCCTATTTCTATTTCTATTACTATTCCTATTCTAATAGGAGTGTATAAACCTATTCCTATTCAAATAAGATTGTATAAACATCAAATAGGATTGTATAAACATATTCCTATTTTAATAGGATTGTATAAACCTATTCCTATTCTAACAGGCCACAAAGCAAAAAGAAGCAGAAACCACAACATAAAATATCATTTAAAAAAAGGTTGCTACTGTAACTTTATACCACAAATGCAGCAAAATAGTTCGAGAGAACATCATTACTGAATAGATGATGACATTAACCTACTTCTTTGAAACTTCTTGACAAGAATGCTATATAAAGGTATGATGATGCACCCTCAAAAAGAGAACAACAGAACAAAGAAAAGGGTAGAGAAAAGGCTAAATTATAACTTCAATTAAGATGTAATACCTTTGTTTCATGCCCAGTGAAAATGACAGCCCCAACAATGTACTGAGTGTTTCTCAGACTGCAACCCTGGAAGAAATACAGCGATATCAAGAAGAAAACATGAAAGTAAAATTCACCAAATGTACTATGAGTTAGAGAAGAAATATCACAATTAGCAGACAAAAGGTCAAAGATAGGTCATAAAAAGGAATTGACACAACTAGATCATGGTCATCGTGGATATTTGCTTGAAGATGCATTTACCTTGAACTATAACTAAGACACAACTTATGCAGTACTTTTTTCTTATAAGTGTATAACATACAATACTTAAAACCAGAGCCATAAAATAAAACAAATTGGAAAACAACATAACAAAAAGAGTTCATACCCGTAAAAGAAGTTGGTTTGGACTAAGTGGTAAGGTTTGCTTTTGAATTATCAGATTGCCAGTGAATGTGTACAATGAGTTATTAGGTTGCTCACATTGTAACTCACCTGGTAAAAGAAAAATGCAGGAGATCACATCAAACACGCCATTGTATAAGGGTAAAGTATTCTTAAAGTTGGAAACAAATTGATCAGGCTTTCACTATAGAACAGACAAAATTGATATTCGTCATCATAATTCTGATATACCATAAGCAATAACATTTCTGCTGGGAAGCATCTGCAGGAGATCATGATACACATGGTTGCACATCTTAAAGGTTTTTAAAAAACATCTTTCTTTGACGTATATAGACTAGTTCTTGAAAAATGCATTGCATGTTGTATCCTGTGTTAGTTATTACTCCCTCCATCCTAATTTTAGTGTCTTACTTTCCTTTTAGTTTGTCCCAAAAAGAGTCTATATTTAGCAAGTTTTCCAATTCTAAGATCCTACATGGCAAGTTTAAGATCACAAGTTTTAAAGGACTACACACATCTTTAATTTAAGACCACAAGATTCAAAAGTCTCCCTTTATTTCATAAATTCCATGTCCAAACTAACTAGACACTTAAATTGAGACGGAGGGAGTATTAAATTTGCATGCAAAATATTTTTCCAAGGATCTGATATACATCGGATACCATCAAACCACACAATTAAAATGTGTTTTTACATCAATATTGAACAAATACTACATAACACAAGTTTAATACCTTCCCTGTTATTTTTTCCAGTATTTAGGACCTTGAAATTAACTAACTATATCATCCTACTTCTGAGTAATTTACATTATTATGAACGTCCACAAATTTGTCTGGAAAATATTGGAATTGTCTGCCAAATGATGATGATGATGATAATTTTTGTTGCATAATATATGGTGATATGATTCTATTTGAGCTAAAATAAATTATTTTTTACCAATTTCAAAAACAACAGATTTCTAATGTATTTCGTAGATGTCTGTTTTCTTTTCCTTTTTTCATCTCAACCCGATAAACCGTTTTGGGAGAGACTCTAATTAAAAAATCAATTAAACATCTTTTGACTCCACAAAGATACTTAAAGATAACTAACAACACAACAAAAGTAGGCAGTCATTAGAACTATAATTAAATTGAAGGGCAAGAAAATACTCCGTGCATCTCAAATTGAAGATTGTTTCCCGGATTGGAAGTTAATATGCTTAATATTTTAATTTTATTTAACTATAATTAACTTGATATTTCAATATAATTAAGATATTTGAAAGTAACATAAATTTTCTAAAATTTGATACTAAACACGAATGACATATATGAACAATAGAAAATTTAACTTTTGTAAATGGAAAAAAGAATATTAATCTTTAAGATGATTAAACATTTAATAGTTAAATATGAGTTTCAACACGGTTGTCATGAATGTAAAGTAGAGATGAATTAGCAGTTTAATCTTCCTTGTCGCAGTGCTATAAATGAACAGTTTTATTCCTATTTTTATAACTCGCATATTTTTATAAAATATATATAGTTAAAATTCATCATTTTGCGATACAATATTTTTTTAATAATGACAAGAGATACTGCACATTTGCTGAACCAGAAATATCAAATCCAAATAATTTATTCAAATATAACAAAAAGGTTAACACTTTTTTTATCCAGACTCAAATGTATATCTATTACCTTGTTAGTTTAGATTACTAGGCAACAAAGTTAATAAAAGATGACAAAGAGCTCATTGTTAGACAACTTTATATATCTCAGAAAGTCTTCTACCTAGTTGATGCTTACACTGCACACACACACACAAAAAGAAAACCATATGAATAGTTGAATAAACATATAGAAAGAACGATGAAAGAATATACACAAGCATATACTAAAAGCGGTGACTGGAGCGTCTGGTGCATCAATTTTCTCTCCTTTTCCTTTTAATATTAATTTAAATAGACCTACATTGGCTCTTTTCAGTTGATGTTAATTCAACATAATATTCTTCATGTGCTCACAAATTTGGTTTATTTCAACTTAAGATGCAGTAAGCTAGTAAGCTAGAATACTGATTAAAGAACGATCAAATCCCATTTGATATTTTCTTAATAAATCACTAGGGGTCACATCCGGAGTTTTTTGTGATAAGAACGTGCCATCAAAACTAAAAGGTAAGTTCTACGGAGTGACAATGGTTAGAGCAACTATGTTGCATGGGGCAGAGTGTTGGCCAGCCACGAACACTCATGTCCAAAAGATGAAAGTAGCAGAAATGAGGATGTTGAGATGGATGAGATAAGATTAGGAATGAAGAGATTCGGAATAAGAGTGGCCGCCGTGGTGGAGAAGATGCGGGAAGGGAGGTTGACATGGTTCATACATGTGCAGAGGAGATGCGTAAATGCCTCAGTGAGGAGGTGTGAGGGGCTGGTCATGGTGGACCTAAGGATAAGGAGAGGTAGGCTTAAGAAGTCTCGGGACAGGTGATTAGGTAGGATAAGTATAACTTCAGCTTACCGACGGCATGACCCTTGATAGGAGGGTGTGGGGTTCGAGTATCAAATTAAAGGGTTAGCACGTCGTGGAGCGTATATCTTTACTGTATTAGGAGTATTAATATTATTTATATGTTTGCTTATTCTTTGACCTCTAGTATTACCTGACTGTTTCTTTCACTTTCTTTATTATACTATTTTGTTGTTGTTACAGGTTGTTATTACTGCTTTGTTCAAATTTCCTTGAGCCAAGGGTTTATCAAAAACAACCTTACCTACCCTCACGAGGTAGGGGTAAGGTCTACGTACACTCTATCCTCACAAAAACTACCATTTCTAAAAGACAATTTTCAGGAATTTGATCATGTATCTTATGCAAATTGAGTATGAATATTTACATATTTTGGAAGTAAACATAGCTCAAAAGTGCTTATTGACTATTTTTTTCATTCATTTCTTATCATTCACCTGTTTTACATTATTTGACATGAAAATATAGACGTTTTTAGTTTCATTCTTCCTTCATGTTTATTTTATTAGAACTCAGTACAATTATAGGAAAAAAAACAAATTAATCCTTCCTATATCAATATTAATTAATTAGTTCAGAACACCAACCATAAAAGCCACATTGAATAACTAAGTATAATTATATTATAAAATAAACAAAGAGTTGCGTCTTTTTTCTCACAATGAGTTAGGTCCTTTCAATAAAATGACTAAACATTTGAAAAGTTCTTTCCTAACGACCAAGTAGTCTCTTAGAAAATTAGTTACTTAATGAAAGAACAAAACTATATAGACAAGACAAGATAAATCAATACTTTGTAGTTTTTATTGAATTATTATTATTATTAAATGTAGTTGTACATTATTAAAAAGGTATAGTGGTCTTTCAGCTTTTTAGTTCATGTTTTCCACTCCACTTTTATAATAGTATAGATATATAGCTTTTTAGTTCATGTTTTCCACTCCCCAATTCTATAATCGGATCTATTCTTTTCCTGAAAAAAAAAAAAAGATATATAGAGATTTTTTATTTAATTATTATTCTTAAATATATATTATTAAAAGGGTATTTTGGTCTTTCAACTTTTAGTTTAGGGCTTCCCACTTTTATAAAAGTATATAGAAAGAGAGATAAGAGAGATATATATAGCAGATAAATATTTGAATTTACATGTTCATCTCATGGATGGTCCGTGCACAATGGCTTGACTTGTGCACTTCATGCTGAGATCTGAAGATATATTAACCAGATATGAACTTAGAGGTGAAGTAGTTGTAACTAAACAGCGACTATCTGTGTTACAAAGTACATTTTAAGAAAGAAACCAGCTATAAAATAGCCTCGCTTAACTTTTCATGGCCTAAAAACAAATCTAGCACATCGAAGGATATCAAGCAGCCTGCATTGGAAAATCTGGAAAGAAGGAATGCAGCATGTCTATTTCGAAGGCTATATGCTACATGTGGATCTTCCACTAGACTAGAAGTAATTTCATTGCGCTAGTACTACAAAATGTCAAAGTTACAGGCATTATCATGCAAAAACATTTGATTGGTCAACAGCAGCAGAGAAACCAAACCTCTGAATGTAGATATTTTCTCAGGAGACACATAATCCCAGGTCTTCTCCAGTGCCTTTCTGATCTTTAAATTAGTTTCACCATCCAAATTTGCCGTCTGAGTAAATCCATGTGCCAGTTAGGAAAGAACAGGATGAAAAAGATGAGAACCAATATATTTATTTATGATATTATCCAAACACCTCTTCTCCAAATAATTTAGATCAACCTATCTTTTCGGACAAGTAAATAAGAAACTAGATGTGGATCAAGTACAACCTCAATGTAGCAGACCCCATCTGGGTTTGTGCTGGCAAGAAAAATAAGATCTGCCGGAAAGAACTCATCCTGCTTAACCTGCAAGAAAAAGGAGAGCTTGTACAAACTTACATTTTTTCGAATAATGAAAAGAACTGCCTCTCATTGGTCTTCATAACTTGTATAAAAAACCAAAGTGCTAAAACTACATTTGAGGAACAGGATTGAATTCCTTCCCAAATCAAATATTTAGGGAGGAGTTAGTAAAGAGCATTTTCCATTTGTGAGGTGCGCATCCCGAATGTCAATCACATATCTGTAATGGCCTATTCCCATGCTGAAAGGACAATGACTAAACTGAACAAGCAGACTGTATTTTTCATAGAGCACTTCAGATTCAACCATATTGAAAAGCTGTAACATTCTAAATAACTGGAGGTCCACGCTCCTCTCTTCTTCTTTTTTAATCATTAGGTCCAATAACAACAACAAACCCAGTGAAATCCCAAACTGGAGTCTGGGGAGGACAGAGTGTACCTTACCTCTACCTCGTGGAGGTAGAAAGGTTGTTTCGGGAGACCCTCGGCTCAAGTATTGCATATCAGAGCAGTAAGAAAAAGAAAAGACAAGAGTAAAGAAGACATGGAAAATAAAAGAGAAAGTATTACATAGCGTTCAGAGCAAAGGAACACTAGCAATAGCAAAATAGTGCGACAACTAAAGCACAAGAAATAACATGTAGTAACATATAATGAAGGACAAAAAACTACACCGGATACTGCTGATAGTGATGTGCAATGAATGAATAGTATAATCAATAATCTAGCACTAGTGTTTTAAAAGGCAGGGGCGTGAGGTGAGATGTTTTACGCAACACGGGGTTAAACCATAACACGAGGCATAAGTCTTATGGATCTTCAGGGCGTGTCTCATATATCTTTAATTTTACAATTTTATTACTAAGTAAATAAACAAAAGTAAATTTAAGTTACCAGTTTTTTTTAAAAAAAAAGTAAGTCTCTCAATAATTTTGCAAATAAATTCAAATACATGACCAATAATATCGAAAAAAATATTATAATTATTATTTGAGATAGGCAACAACACTAAAAATGATAATAGTTGAGATAATCATTAAAATGAAATTATCATCCACTCCATCATCGATCTCCACATCTACTAGTCTTTCCCCATCCTCAACTAATATTTGAATTGATTTTTATTAATGTATTAAAAAGGAGAAGAATAAAATGTGTAAGAGCAATGACAAAAACTGGATAAAGTTGACTCACGAATATAGTGTTATCGAATTCCTATCCTATTCAGGCATAATCATCTAAGAAAACTATTTATAGCAGTGTCATTTTATATGAGAATCATTTTCCCTATTTATATACTTGAGAAAAAATCACTACAACGTAAAAACATGATAGCATAGAGTATAAATATCATTACACCAAAATTAAAAAAGAAACATAGCAAATATATTTTTAAAATAACAAACATCAAATTTAACACTCAAGGTGTACGCTTTTGCTTCCGGAGCTTACGCCTCAAATTCTAAGGCGTACGCCCTATGGATCTACGTCTTCCATTTATGCCCCGAAACGTTTTTAGTACACCCCACCCCGAGACTCTCCCCAAAAACACCTTTGAAAACACAGTCTAGCACTTTTGCATAATTGAAAGTGAACATTAATTGTATCGTGTTTTCTACAAATGCACTTTAGTTCCACCAAGGTGAGAAATGTAAGGTTAAATAACTTTTGTTTCTTTTATTTGTCATTGCCTTCATTTCAATTTGTTTGTCTGATTTTGATTTCACATTCATATGGAGTTAAAGAAAGTAAAGAAGAAATTTTTGACTTAAATTAAAGATATGCAGAGTGTACCGATATGTCTTTAATGTTGTGGTCTTAAACATATCATATAAAAAGTTGGAATTAAAAGGTCGTCAAAAAGGGAAAGAGACATTCTTTTTGAAATGGACTTAAAAGAAGAGTAAGACGAACAAATGAAACAAAAGGAGTAGTAAGTTTCCATAGAACATCTGGAAAAGCATGGCTCCCACCAAGATTAAATGTTTCAGCTGGTTAGTGGTGAAGAGAGCATGCCTTACGCATGAGGTTCTACAAAAGAAGGGGAGAGTAGTAGTGACAAGATGTTTTTTGTGCAATGAAACTAGAGAGACAAACAACAGTGTTTTTTTGCATTGCAAGTTCACTACACAACTGTGGAACCTGTTCCGCAGTCTTACAAAGACGGAATAGACAATGCCTAAACATACTGCAGATTTGATGAGCTCCTGGATGAGAAGAGGGGGGTAGCAAGAGTCGGAAAAAATGGTGGAGGATAATACCGCCATGCATATGGTGGACACTATGGAAGGAAAGGAATGGAAGATGTTTTGAAGACAAGATCAAGTTCATTAATGATGTGAAATGGAACTGTTTAGTGTCTTTTTTTCTTGGTGTAAAGGAAATTGTATAGAGGAAGCAGATGAGATGATAGCTTTCTTAGGTTAACCTTACTACCTTGTAATTTTTGGAGGTGGTCAGTATTCCTTAACACTGAAGAACACAACAGTACTAATGTAACATCTCGCACCTAGAAACGACTATAAAGAGTTTAAAATATGAAAATATTGATTTTTGGAAAGAAAAAGGAAATCTGGAAATTTTGTCTAAGTTAAGAAAGTGAGTTTTGGCCATTTTCAAACGGCCATAACTCCTAGCTCAGGAGGAGTTAGAAGTAGCTCTTGACATGTTTAGAAAGCCCTTGGAGAGATCTTTCGAACGCCGCCGAGATTGCACGATTTCGACTTCGTATGAGTGAGATATGCCTTCTGAAAGTTGGGTTGTTAGATCGAGGAAAGTTTCAATTCGGATTTAGGGAAAGGCAAAGTAGTCTTTTCTCTAATTAATTTCCTAATTCGTTTTTAGGGATTTATAGGGGTAAAAACAGAACTTAATTCAGTTTTGAAAAGTTAGAATACGCTTAGGGCTTGGAGAAGAGAGAAAGAAAGAAAGAAAGAACGGGAGAAGAAGGCAAGAATTAGCCAAGATCATTTAAGATTGCGAGTGGAATTCGTCGGGGGTGATCCCTATTAAGGTATGTGAGATTTCTTTCGTGTTGGGTTAGTTCACCCACACACTAACTTGTTTCAATTCAGCGAAATTGGAGTTGTTTGAATGTTAAGAAAGTGAAGTTCTTGAAGAACATTGTTGAATTCTTGTGGGTTGATTGTTGAATGCCTAGTGTTGAACTGATTCATGTTTTCGGGTTGTTTTGCGAGTTAGATTGGTTGTATACTGAGGGTACAATTGATCCTAGGGGTTTGGGCAAAGTATCATGGAAGTTTGGAGGGTTTAGAGATGAAAAACGGAGGAGAAAAGTCGAGAACACCTGGGTACAGGGGTTGGGGCGTCGCGCCTCTCAGCGCGCCCCAAACTGTTCTCTGAGGTTTGACCTCTGGCGCGTCGCCCCAGCCAGAGCGCCCCACCCAGCTCTCTGAGGTTTGGGGCATGGCGCCCCACGCCTCTCAGAGCGCCAGAGATGCCAGTTCTCCCCATTCGTTCCCCACCTTCTCGTACGTGTTCCTAAGTGATGTACATATGTTTCCTAGTCGATTCTAACATTCTAAAATACATCTAAACATCATGAAATCATCCATAAACATGAGATCATAAACCTTGAATCCATAATCCAATTCAAGGAAAGTTAAGATCAAAGTCAAGAGAAGTAAGAGTCAAGTCAAGATGAGTTCTTAGAGTTTTCCAGAAGTCTTTTCCAAATGTTTTAACTTTGTTTTAAGACTTAAAGTTCAAGTTGAGTAAAGAGTAAAGAGTAAAGTTTGAAGTTCATTTCTTCAAAAGTATATGGGGACTAAGTATTCCCAAAGAGATTTAAAATGTTTTCACATTTAAATAAGAACGGAACTGAGATTTCCAAAGAGTCAGGCTAGTTTTCAGAAAAGAGTAATAGCTTTCTAAATGAAGCAAGCAGGGGAACTGAGATTTCCAAGATAGTCTTTGAGCTAAGTTTTTGAGCACTAATATCAAATCACAAAAGAAGTATGTTTTAAAAACATAAGAGCTAGTATATTTTGAGAGTAGTATTGAGCACCGAATTGAGCGAGCGTTCAAAGAATCCACAGCCCTCATAGAACCATGTAGCCACCATGGGTAGAAAAGGATCATATTTTTTTTTAGATGAATCCTTTTCAAGATAGACTAGTGGATCCATTAGGCAGTTCAGGTTCTGTACCTTTGGTCGGGTATAGAATGCTTTGGCAGCGTGAGGTTGATCGTTGTATCATCACTATAGCTCTTATGTGATGGTTGTCAGTTAGAGAAACTCCCACAGCAGTTATTGTATTTCTATATACATCAGTTCATTTGTATTTCTACATACATCTCAGATTTATTGTATCTTTGCATACACACAGAGTTTATAGCATGTTTTAAACATCTTTTCTTTATATTGCACTTGCTTTAAATTGCTCTATATTGAAATGAGTCAGTCAGGTTGAGTTGAGTGAGCCAGGTAAGTTATTCAGTTTCTTTCAGATTCCTTCTAGCCTATGTGTGGCTTAGCATTCCAACTCGCATACTCATACATTCAATGTACTGATGCCAGTTAACCTGCATCTTATTATGATGCAGACGCAGGTAATCAGGATCAGCATCCAACACCTCGTTGATCCAATTGAGCAGCTCAGAGTCAGTGGTGAGCCTCCTTGCATTCCGGAGGACTCTTTTATTCGCTTTCAGTCTTTTCATTTATTAGGATGTTGTGGGGTTTGTCCCAACATCCATCTCAGTATTTTAGAGGCTTCATAGACAATCAGATAGTTATTAGTTCAGATGTCTTTCTTTATCTTTCAGATGTTGTTTAAGACTTAAGTGCCATTTTGGCCAACTTATTATTCTTTAAGTTATTATTTGAGACTGTTTCATTGAGTTAAGTCTTCCGCTGAGTTAAGTAAGCCAGGCCAAGGGTTCGCTTGGGGCCAGAAATGGTCTCCGAGTGCCAGTCCCGCCCAGGGTGTAGGCTCGGGGAGTGACAACTAATTCTCAAAAAAAAAAAAAAAATTCTATAGATCATCTTCCCCATCCCAATTGTTGATGACTCAAAACCTACATTTGAAAGGACATATAATCACACTAATTGGTGTCATGACCAGACATTCAGCTCCTAAAACACCACGGCAAAGTTTGACTTCTAGATAAATTCAAAAGAAGCAAACCAGAATATGTATCTTTATTTGTCTGCTAATTATCCACAATATGCAGTTTCAACTATGAGCTGAACTTCTTACGCTATGATGCAATGTATGGTTCTAGTTACATAGGTTACAAAGATTGCCTAGCAGAACTGTGTTAGTAGAGGAGATCAGTGGCATACTTCATATGAATTTCCCAAAATATACAAAAAGCCCTCTAGAAATTCAACGTGTCCATGCTGGTAACACACTTGTAGATATACACACATCCTTGCTCATATAACAAAGCAATTGGCATAACAAGCTAAATAAAGATCCTAGAAAAGTTACAAAGCAGATATAAATGGATGCTGATGATGAGCATCAAAACAACATGAAAGTTGATACTTACTCTCACGATATCTCCAGCCTGCAGCTTCTTCCAAGTTGCATTTACCCAAATCTGGTCTTGCAACATGTCTATGGAGGAATTATTAATAGACTTGTCATTCTGAAAACGTTTCTGTTATAAAGAAGGAACAAGAAAAGAAAGCATAAGCATATAGTTTCTAATAAAGAGGTAAAAGGATAAAGGTGTCAATAGCATATTACTCTATTTAAAGAATATCATATATATACAGTCAGTTTAAGAACCAACGGAAAAAGAAGGCAATGAAGGAAATAGTACTTACCCAGTCCTCCCAAGCCTCCTTAATAAGAGAAACGAGAAGCACCATGCTCAAAGGAAGCACATTTGTTATTGGACTTACAGGACTGTATTCAAACAAGAGTTCTTTTTCAGGTGCAAATCATGAGAAAATATAGCACATGTCATCAAAATATAAATTAATTTCCATTACCAATTTCAAAAAAAAAAAAAAAAACATATATACATGTATATATGTATGTACATATATATACATATATATATGTATGTATGTACATATATATACATATATATATGTATGTATATATATATAAAATAAAAATTAATTTCTTGAAATAATTTGCAAATGCCTTACAAACCAAAAACAAAAAAGTGAAATTTTATTATTTAATGCGAAGGCAAACAACCACCAATAGCATCACACAACAGTGAACTTTAATCTTGTCTAGATGATTAACACAATAAAATACTCTACACTATACTTTTCACTCTTTTTTTAATGACCGTGGTCTCCGGGCCAGCTTTCGCCCATCTCGATTAATTCCACGGGATACTTGATATACTTTTCACTCATTTTCAGCACAAATAATGCATAGTATGGGGAAGAGGGGGAGTTAATAAGGGTTAAATACCTGATTGGTGTGCATGACAAAATTGAGATCATAAGGAAGTACAGATTAGCCACCCGCCTGAACTGTCAGAGTAAGGACACAGAAACAAGATGAGGGCTATAGAACAACATGCTTTGAACAATATGGCTGCATGGCATCATTCTTCAAGCTGAATGAACTTGCTATATATAAAATGATTTTGTTGAAATAACAAACTTTAATAGCCAAAAACACTAATAGACACAATTCATTTTGTTTTTCAGTAAGGTAGAATATATTTACTAATAGACACAGTTCCTAAGGTTTTTGTCTTTTCTTCTTCCTCTAAAGCCAAGCTAAATAACTGATAAAAAAGAAGGTCCAGCAGAACAGGCCTCAATCACTATCCCGTCATCATCCATTACAAACCAAGTCAATTTCAAACTCTCTCCCCACAGTCGAGTCGAGATGCTACTGACAATGCAAAGGAGATAATCTAGGCCTTTGCCTGAACTTACACACATAAAATACCAACTAGTTTATGTAAATTTGTTTTGACATTTCTCCCTTTGCCACCGGCGAAGCAAAAAAAACACCTTTTTAGTGCCCTAGAATTCCATAGCAATAGGTTTCAAAAGGCAGATTCTTGTCTAACCAAAATCTTATAGTATTATGATTTAAGTGAGAACATTTTCCCAAACCTGATCTACACAAAATTGGCTAACATTATATTATGCTTGTAGAGGACTTCAAATATTCAGTAACCTTTTTCAAAAAGAAAAAGATATAAAAACTAACACTCATGACCCCTTCCCACCAAACAGAAACAGTACAATTTACAAACTTAGTCTGCATCCATTTCACAAGTTACAAGGATTAACATGAAGGAGGGAAACCACTAGATGGGACATTAAGCTGCTATTTAAAGAGATAAATTTGGGGGGGGAGTTAAGAAACTATATGATGAACTTCTTGTTAGGAACCCAAAAACTCTCCAACTTTAGGCTGTAAATTTCCAAGCACACAGGAAGAAGATAACAATACCCTACACTGATATATATATTTCCACCAACTAATAGAACAAATTTACAAATAGACAAACAAGATCTATGAATGATAATCCACCCAACAACCAAGGTATTTCGAGGTACCTTACCCTCCAGTTTAACTGCAGAACCAATAATATCCTCCAGAATAAACTGTCTGTCTTCCTTAATAACTATCTTAACTTCTATGTAACTGCTAAAACTACATATACATAGTAATAACTAAATAAAGCAGTAATAAAATACATATACATAGTAATAACTAAATAAAGCAGTAATAGTAATATTTAGGCCTTATTTTCGCCCTTCTTCCTGCGTTTATAGACCTTAGTTACAGCAGGTCTAACAATACCCGCCCCAACGAGTTTCACCTTGTCTTCAAGGTGAAAATGAGGAAATTGAGCATCAATAACTTCATAGGGTTCCCAAGTGTTCTCAAAGTCAGGCAAGTCCTTCCACTTAATCAGAACCTCGTGGAAGCCATTCAGAAGTGTCCGACAATCTATCACACTTTCAGGTTGTACTAGCATTTCAAGATCTTCAGACAACAAAAGGAGGGAGTTGTTGAACTGGAATCGAATCCTTCACAGCACACTTTAGCCAAGAAACATGGAATACGGGATGCACCCGCGAATGAGAGGGTAAATCAAGGCGATAAGCGACTTCACCAATTTTGCTCAAGACAGTATATGGCCCATAGTAACGAGGAGTTAATTCTCATTAACCTTTTTAGCAAGTGAACGAAGCTTGAAAGGTTGCAATCAAAGATAAACCAAATCACCAGGTTGGAACAAAACTTCACAACGCTTAGCATCAGCATACATTTTCATTTGAGCTTGAGCATGGGTCAAATTAGCTTTGAGTTCATCTAGAATAATGTTGCAAGCAGCAAGCTGCTGGTTGACCTCTTCAACAGCAGAAATTTCTTCAGTGAACCGCAACAAGGAGGGAGGATCTTGTCCATCTAAAACTTTAAAAGGAGTCATCTTGGTGGAACCATGGTAAGTGGTATTGAACCAAAATTCAGCCCAAGAAATCCATCTTGGCCATTGTTTTGGATGTGTTCCTGCAAACCAGTGCAAATAAGTCTCCAAGGAGCGGTTAACAACCTCAGTTTGACCATCTGTTTGAGGGTGATATCCTAAGCTCAATTTGAGACTAGTACCGGACAACTTGTATAATTCTTGCCAAAATTGGCTGACAAAAACCCGATCTCGGTCAGAAACAATAGATTTGGGGAACCCATGCAAGCGTACAATCTCACGAACAAACAATTCAGCTACACTCTTTGTTGTATATGGATGAGATAAGAGAAGAAAATAACTATATTTAGTGAAACGTTCCACCACAACAAGTATAGAATCATGTCCCATTGCTTTTGGCAACCCGCTGATGAAATCCATAGCAATATCATCCCAAACCTGAGTAGGAATAGATAATGGCTGCAGCAAGCCAGCGGGACTAATGGCTTCATACTTATTCTGCTAGCAAACTTCACAACTAGCCACAAAGTTTTGTACATCCCTTTTGATCCCATTCCAGTACAAGACTTGTGAAATGCTCTTGTATGTACGAAAAAACCCCGAGTGACCACCCGTAGGTGAGGAGTGAAATTCCCTAAGGAGCATAGGAATGTGTAATGACGACCGAGGAATCACAAACCGACTTTTGAAATATAGGCAGCCATTTTTAAGAGCATAATTCGGTCGTGAAGTTAGATCCTGGAGCAAATCGTGCGTCAACTGACGGAGTTGATTGTCTTGTTGAACTTCAGTGGAAAGATCATCTAAGGTACTGCTGCTTAAAACAGAAAAAGCCATGAAATGAAATTGGCGGGACAAGGCATCAGCTGCCTTATTTTCACAACTAGGACGATATTGAATCTCAAATCAAATCCCATCAACTTGGTGATCCATTTTTGTTGCTCTTCTGCCATAACATGCTGGTCCATGAGAAACTGGAGACTTCGTTGATCTGTTCGTATAATGAAATGTTGACCCATCAAATAATGACGCCACTTTTGGACAACTATAGCCATTAACTCCCTCTCATATACTGATTTAGATTGAGCCCGAATTGAAAATCCTTGGCTAAGAAAAGCGATAGGATGTCCCTCTTGCATTAGGACAGCTCCAATCCCTAACCCTGAGGCATCTGTCTCAACCACAAACACCTTGTTAAAATATGGTAGTGGCGTAGTGCCAAAATTGGCAAAGTGACCATAGCTTCCTTAAGTGAATCAAAAGCTAATTGAACTTCTTTATTCTAGCGAAAAGCATCTTTCTTGAGCAATTGTGTGAGTGGCCTCGCTATTTTCCCATAGTGACGAACAAAACTTTCTATAGTAACCGGTGAGTCCCAAAAATCCCCGCAAGCCTTTAACATCTTTTAGACTTGGCCAATTAACCATACTTGTTATTTTGGCAGGATCCGCCGCGACTCCACTTGCTGAAATAATATGGCCCAAATACTCAAATTGTTGTTGTCCAAAATGTCATTTCTTTCGATTGACAACCAAGTTATGAAATTTTAGAATTTGTAGCACCTCCCGCAAATGATCCATGTGAGAAGGAAAATTTGTACTATAAACTAATATATCATCGAAAAAGACCAATACAAACTTACGTAAGTAAGGCCAAAATATTTCATTCATCAAGGCTTGAAAAGTAGATGGTGCATTAGACAACCCAAATGGCATGACCAAAAATTCATAGTGGCCTTCATGTGTACGGAAAGCTGTTTTTGCTACATCCTCCTTGCAAACACGGATTTGATGGAACCCTGATCGTAGATCCAATTTCGAAAATATAGTGGCACCCCCAAGCTCATCTAGTAACTCATCGATTGTTGGAATTGGAATTTATCAGGAACCATTATCTTATTAAGGGCCCGATAATCCACACAATCGCCAACTACCATCTTTTTTGCGAACTAGCAACACTGGACTAGAGAAAGGACTAGTACTTGGTTGGATGATACCAGCTACTAACATTTCCCGTACTATTCGCTCAATCTCATTTTTTTGGTAATGTGGATAACGATATGGACGAATATTAGGTGGATCAGATTCCTTTTTAAGTCGTATAGCATGGTCATGACTCCTATTGGGTGGCAGCCCTTTGAGTTCCTCAAATAAAGCTCCAAATTCTTCCGGTAGTTGCTGCAAATCCAGATTCTCTTGTTCTTCCCTTGCAGTTAATTAATATATTCATATCAACATAATATCCTACTCCATCTCCCTGCAAGGCCTTAATCAAAGTTTTTAGTGAAGCTACTGATTTTGACAGCGAGGGGTCTCCTCGAACAACTTGTGTTTGCCCTTCTACTTCAAATTTCATTGTCAAGGTTCTAAAATTAGCTTGAATATCACCCAAGATTTCCAGCCACTCTAATCCTAACACCACATCAGCACTGCTCAAATTAAAAGTAGATAATCCTGTGTTATCCGCAATTTATCAATCCACAATTCCACTTCTTTGCATCTTCCCCTACTCTTTACTTGTTAGCCATACCCCACTTCCACCACAAACGGCTTAGTTTCAGTTTGCTTTAACCTTAATGCTTCAGCTACTGCGCCAAATATAAAATTTGTTGATGCACCGCTATCAATCAACACAATAACTTTCTTCCCCCTATATTGTTCCCCATACCTTCAGGGACTTCTTTGTGGTAAATCCTGCTATAGAGTACAAAGGCAACTCCATTAACTTTTGTGGCTCTGGTTGTCCTTGATCATTTAATTGGTCCATCTCTGTGTTGATTATCTCCTCCAAAGACTCTTCAATGCCTCCATCTTCGTCGTCCTCTGTTGCTACAATAAGCAGATTTAATTGTTTTAAATTGCACCGATGATTAGGGCCATATTTTTCATCGCAGCGAAAAACAAGGTCCTTTCCTTAATTTATCCTAATACTCTGCATCAGATTGCCTCTTGTATGCTCCTCCTCGCCTTGTAGAAATTTCAGGTCTTGGTTGCACATTTTCTCCTCGCTTTTGTTCTTGAAAATGTCATGGTATTGTTGTAACTGCTGTACGGGCAGAATGAAAACGTGTTATTACTCCACGTACTTGGGACCGGTAACACTTCCTGTACGGCTATTGTCAATCACTGGAAAATGCACTGAGCCCCTAGAAAGCGACATACACATGTTTTGGTAAGTGGGCTTGGCTGAGAGCCCAATTCTTCCCTTCAATATGTTGGCGCTTTGGTCCATAGTCTGGGTTAGAGTTCCTAGCTTGCTAAGATGCAATTCTGCTTTGATCTCCTCTCTCAGGCCATTTATAAAAATTCCCATCATCATCGGCATCTTTCAAAGGTGTTGAAAGTAATTCAAAATCTTCTCTGTATTGGGCCACACTTCCAATTTGTTGCAACCCTATCAAAGCCTCATATAAGTTTCCTGACTGTGATGGAGTAAATCGTTGGAGTATGGCTACTCGAAACACATCCCATGTGACAATCGGAGTTCTTGACTCCCACCATTGGAACCAATTTAGGGCTCTACCTTCAAGGCAAACAGCAGTTGCCTCCAATTTATCATTGTCGTCAATGCCATTAAAATGAAAATAATGTTCCGCTCTATTAAGCCACCCATATGGATTATCACCAGAAAATAAGGACAGTTCCAGCCTTCTAGGACGCATGAATCACGAAATTGTGGTCGAACTTCTTCGCGAAATCCATCACCTTTGTGATTGTTGTTGTTCTCTGCCATCACATCTGTAGCCATAATTAGATCTGTCTGAACTGTTGATTTTCCTTTCATATGTTGAAGAATTTCAACGTCACATTCATCTTTGTTGTGCATCCAGTCTCGTAGCTGCCCCAGGTAATCACATACTGAAACAATCTCCTCTCGTACTTCGGTCATTGTCTTCTCTAACCCTTCAATCCTCCCTTCTATTCTAGTTGAAACCATAAAGGCTCTGATACTAAATTTGTTAGGAACCCAAAAAATCTCCAACCTTATGTTGTACACTTCCAAGAACACAAGAAGATAACAATACCCTACACTAATATATATATTTCCACCAACTAACAGTGTTACCAAAGGCGCGCTTAAGCCCTAAAGCGAGGCTTATAACGTGTTGAGCGCTTCGCCTCGCTTTATGTGCACTTCAGTGTCGTCATCAAAGTTCTAAGACAAACTTTTCCTTGTCAATGAGTCTCTTATGAAGAAGTGACACTAAACAATTGATATTTAACTTTATCAAAAAAAAATTCAATTTCTTTGGTCATATATTTGTCATTCATGGTTATAATTATTAGTCTTGGACTAAACAAACACATTTTATGTTTTTCTCCCTATGCGCCGTTTTTCATTAAAGCCCACGCTTTATTTGCGCTTTGTGCTTAAAGCCCCCACGGACCTTAGAGCTTTTTTGCGCTTTTCGCTTTTAATAACAGTGCCAACAAATAGAACAAATTTACAAATAGACAAACAAGATCTATGAATGATAATTCACCCAACAACCAAGGTATTTCGAGGTACCTTACCCTCCAGTTTAACTGCAGAACCAATAATATCCTCCAGAATAAACTGTTTGTCTTCCTTAATAACTATCTTGACTTCTATGTAACTACTAAGTAACTGCTAAAACTACATATACGTAGTAATAACTAAATACAGCAGTAATAAAATACATATACATAGTAATAACTAAATAAAGCAGTAATAGTAATATTTAGGCCTTATTTTCACCCTTCTTCCTGCGTTTATAGACCTTAGTTACAGCAGGTCTAACAATTCTTAACAACCATAGCATATTGAAAAAACACATTAAAAAAAGGCTCACTAGTTACTTAAGGAACTTCTCCCTCTTCATTCCCCATTAATAGGCTGGGAAACTTAGTTATGTCACACTCTTCAAAGTTGTCTGCAAGATCTGCTCTTGGCACAACAGGATTGTAGGAAATTAGGAAATTAGAGGGCTTGTGTATGTGTCCTCTAAATTATATACCAACACTGCGTAGTTTTCAAATGGAAGAATAATTTAAGTCGGAGTAAATACGTAAAACTTAATTCAGCAAAAGTAATAAGCTTAAAAGGACACGGGAAAAGAGCAAAGCCAATTTACCTGTTCAAATAACCCCTTTGGCAGGAACGTTAGGACATCATACTTTGTCGTTGAAACAGAATTTCCCTGAAAATAAAATTATTGCAACTAATCAAGATCAAAGCTAAAATATATGTATAACAAACTTGGCGAGGAACACAATTTATACACAGGGGACTATAAGCTACCATTTGACATTTTCCTTAATACATCACTTAACCTGCACCTTGTCAGCATGAGGCATGTTTTTATTGTGTCAGCGAAAGGCATGTTTATATTTTATTACACTTTACTAAACCATCCAAGTAGATTGCCAGAAAAAGCAGCTGAATTTCCTTGTTTCTCTTTTTTGTTTTTTCCTTCTCCCTTAATCAGTTGACCAAACAACTAGCTTATATAACCAAAAGTTTAAGAAAAGTTTGGAAACTAGGTGCCCAGAATCAGCTGTATCAGCTCCAAAGGAATAGAGGTTTAAGCAAATTAGATGAAAATCAGGAATATACTTCTTCTTTTTCGTATTCTTCGAGTGTAGAAATAAGCACACACCCAAAGCACATTTAAAATAATTAAAAAGCTTCAGCGAACACAGAAGTAACAGATACTCTTGCAAGGAAAGCAATGATTATTTTACTTCATTTCAATCAGGTAAATGTATAGCTACTAACCCTTAAAACTACACTGATAGCATAAACAACCTTTAGACTGTCAGTTTATTTAAACTAGATCCAAATAAAAAGGGTTTAACTTATAAACATTGACAACATAAATATATTTCTACATTATTGGGTGGTTCATTTAAAGTAACCCGAATTTTTGTACTTAAGGCCAGGAAGAAATTGGAACAAACCTTCACTTCTCCTTCTAAATGATTACTCCCTCCGTTTTAATTGTTTGGTTTTGACTTGGCACATAGTTTAAGAGAGTAAAGAAGCCTTTTGAATTTTGCAATCTTAAACTAACAATTTGTAGAATGTACCAAAATACCCTTTAAGCTTGTGTCTTAAATATGTCATGTGGAAAGTTAGAACTAAAGAGTTGCCAAAAAGAGAAAGCGGGATTCTTTTTGCAACGGACTAAAAAAGAAAGTAAGACAAACAAATTGAAACAGAGGGAGTACTTTACTCTAAGCATCTTAGATAAACTGAATAGTTCCAAGTCCTCAATCAATGTCGTCAAATCCCTAAACCCACATTCACCACTTCAACAACTTCATCCCCATACCGAGCATCTTTACCGTAGAGATAAATAAACTAAACTAAAATAGAGAATTGCTCATACAACAATCAGATGAATGTGCAATATCTTAATCAGACACTAACATTTTTCCCTTGAATTATATGAACATACAAACACAAAAGCTACTAGACTTCAATCTCAAGTTAGTTCATCATTATCCATTTTGCTCCATTTGAAGTCATAAAGACCACATTTATAAATATAAACATTAATACTACCCATTCAGTAATACCCCATACCCACCAACTTAAAATCTTAAAATAACCAAATCCACTCTGTGGAAATAACAGATACAACAATCAGATAAAATGTACAGTATTTTAATCAGACACTCAATGTTTTTCCCTTCAATCATAAGAACATACAAGAATAACAGCTACTATGTCTCAATCTCAAGTTAGCTGGAGTTAATCTATACGAATCCTCACCATCCATTTGCTTCATTTGAACCCATAAAAGACAATATATAAACACAAACACCAGTTTTTGCTTAGAACCTATATTTGCTTTAAAATGCATTAAGTATATATAGATTTTCAATTGTAAACTCAGTAACTTATAGGAGCTACGGATTTGGTCATAGTACAGAACCTATAAAATTCGAATCCTAGCTCCACCTAGATAAACACACTCTCTCACATACACTCTCACAGACACTAAGTAGCGTCTTTATCCATTCAGTACTACTGATTATCCACTAACAGAAATTCATCCTCTGTCATTTCAACAATAAGTAAGAAAGCTTAGAAACAAAATTACCTTGAATTTAGCAAGGGCATTAGCATCACGATCATTCAGAAAAACAGTTCGATGACCTGGTGCTTGAGGCTGCACTTGACCAAGACGAATACTTCGAGAAGATGAAATACGATTAAGTATCGGCGTTCTACTTGTACTAGCTGCCGATCCAGATCCTCTCCATCCTCCACCCATTCTTCAACTCCTACTCAATCTCGCCAGACCGGAGAAAATACTCGCCGGCGATAAACTCTTACTTCGTATTTTTTTTCAAGTGATATTTTGTTGGATTTATCTCTTTAGTTGAATGGAGTTGAAGAAGAAAGACTTAATTGGAACTTCTTCTTCATCGTTCTTTCCTTTGTTTGCGCTACGAGATATTTTCCTTAAGAAGCGCGTGAAGATAAAAAATATTCTATTCTGATTAGCGCGTGTATATGCACGCACTTAATAATAGAGTAAACGTCGCCGTTTTCGAAGTTTAATACTTCGCCTTTATCGTCGGCGTAATTGCAACTGTTAGTCAGTTGAACCTTTCAAAGTTTCAGGTTGTGGACGTGTGACGTGGTGGTTTTTTTTTTTTTTTGGTTTATTTAAAAAAAAAAAAAAAGGGAAAAATGAAAAATATATTTTTGAACTATCGTAAATGATATTCAGATATCCTCCATCATATTTTTGGGATATTGGTGTCCCTGTCGTTCAAAAACTAGAGCATATATGCTCTTCACTCTAATGGAAGACTAAATAGGAACACGTGGCGCAATCTTATCTGTTGATCTGATATTTATTAAATGTCGGATAGACAGATAAAATTATGACACGTGTATGTCTGTTAGTATAAAGGGTATATATGCTCTAGTTTTTGGATGGCAAGGACATCAATGTCCCAAAAGTATGACGAAAAGTATCTGCATTTCATTTACGATAATTTGAGGTATACTTGTCGATTTTCCAAAAAAAAAAGTGAAGTATGACCCAATGAAATTTGTATTCTCCTTATCTTAAAATTTTATATTATTAAAAGTTGAGGGATAATATCATAAAATGTTAAGTATGGCACATTTAAATTTGTATTCTTCTTTATCCTTTAAAAAAATTGTATAGTTAGACTAAAGATTCATTTCATCATTCTGAGTTTCCTTGTGGTTTATAAAATTATGTTTATTTTTTTTATTTTAATTTTTTTCATAACTATTTCTTAAAATATTTATTACTGGTGTAAATAAATGTAATTTGTTATAAATCCATTGTATTATATATGTGAATTATCCATTAGATTTATCCAAACAAATTGGATTCATGTATAGGTGCTTCCAATGTGATAAGAACTTCTAAGATAACTATGTATCTACTAATTAGATAACTTTTGGGAGTGATATCTCAACACTATAAATAGAGATATCACTCACCATTTGGATGACACACTTGAATAAGAAAAGTTCTCCCTTCTCTACACTTCTTGTCTTCTTCTTATTATTATATTATATAGCTTTCTTTTATAATACGTTATCAGCACGAAGTTACTACTTGCAAAGGTATTATATAAATGTTCTTATTTAATTCACCTATTCTCTCATAATCTCATCATGTCGAATTTATCCAAACTTGAGTTTGTGGCACTAGATATCTCTGGAAAAAATTACCTTTCATGGGTACTCGATGTTGAGATTCATTTAGCTGCTAAAGGTCTTGATGCCACCATTACTCAGGGAAATGAAGCATCAAATCAAGATAAGGCGAAGGCTATGATTTTCCTTCGTCATCATCTTGATGAGGGCCTAAAGATTGAATATCTGACGGTAAAAGATCCACTTGAATTGTGGACTGATTTGAAGGGGAGGTATGACCACCTAAAGGCAACAGTATTGCCAAGAGCTCGCTATGAGTGGATGCACTTACGGTTTCAAGATTTTAAGATCGTATTTGAATACAACTCTGTTGTATACAGAATAACCTCCCAATTGAAATTATGTGGGGGGACTATAAAAGATGAGGGTTGGAAAATACACTTACTATTTTCCATGCCTCAAATGTGATATTACAGCAACAATATCGTGAAAAGGGTTTTCAGAAATACTCTGAACTGGTCTCATGCCTTCTGGTGTCTGAGCAACATAATGCCCTTTTAATGAAAAATCATGAAGCTCGTCCCACGGGAGCTTCTCCGTTACCGAAAGCAAATGTGGTAGAAACACATGATCAATCTGAAGTAAAAAGAGATGATCATCGAGGCTATAATAATGCGCGAGGACGTGGCAAAGATAAGAGGCGATACATCAATCGTCGAGGTGGTGGTCATAATTAAAGGGAGAACAACATGAGTTCTCAAAATAACCCCCCCAAAAAGTAATTGACATCGTCGTGGCATGAAAAGCCATTGGAAGAATGAATGTCACACACTGAGCATTTTGCTAGGCTCTACCAAAATTCCTTTAGAAGAAAAGGAAATAAAGGTGGTGCCTCATCTTCCAATGCTCGGGCTAAGTCACATTTGACTCTTAAAGATAATGATAAGCCGAGAACATCTCAGAAATATGATAAGGATGTTGAAGCAAATTTGGCTTTAAAGGATGATGATTTTGATGGCCTTGGTGATATTACTCATATGGAAGTTGATGACTTCTTTGGAGATCGAAACTAAAGTTTGATATTTTGGCTGGGGAATGTAGTTTGTTGCTATTTTACTTATGTGTTTTTAATTATCATGTTCTTCTTTATGTTGAAGTATTTAAATTTTCGTTATTAGTTTTGTTTCGTACTTCTTTTGATGTATTTTTATTTTAATGAAAATTAATAGAAATCCACAGTTGTCGATTGGATTCAAGATGAGTAATGAAGATGTATGCCTTCTTGATAGTGCTACAACGCATACTATATTAAAAGAAAAGACATACTTTTTTTCTAATTTGGTCATGAAAATGGCATATGTCAACACAATATCAAGTAGTACAAAATTAATTGAGGGCTCTGGAAGAGCGACCATATTACTACATGGAGGGATAATATTGACTATTGATAATGCATTATATTGTAGTAAGTCTCAAAGAAACTTATTAAGTTTCAAAATTATTCGCCAAAATGGCTATCATGTTGAGACGGCTAATGAAGGAAATATTGAGTACCTTTACATTACTACAATTAATGTAAAGAAGAAAACTGTGCATGAAAAATTACTTGCACTTTCTTTTGGGTTGTACTATACAAGTATAAGTACAGTTGAATCACATGCCGTAGTAAACAAAAGGTTTGCTAATTTTAATGATTTTATCATTTAGCATGATCGGTTGGGCCATCCCGAATTTAATATGATGCACAAAATAATTGAGAATTCACATGGGCACACCTTAAAGAGACCAAATATCCTTCAGTCAAAGGAATTATCTTGTGTTACCTGTTCGCAAGGAAAGTTGATCATTAAACCATCAATAGTTAAGGTTGGAATTGAATCCCCTGCGTTTCTGGAACGTATACATGGTGATATATGTGGACCAATTCAACCTGCATGTGGACCCTTTAAATATTATATGGTCTTGATAGATGCCTCTACAAAATGGTCACATGTGTGCTTATTATCAACTCGCAACATGGCTTTTGCGAGATTGTTGGCACAAATAATAAGATTAAAAGCATAATTTTCAGACTATACAATAAAGACAATCCGTCTAGATAATGCTGGTAAGTTTACATCTCAGCCATTTAATGATTATTGTATGTCTACTGGTATAATAGTTGAACATCCAGTTGTGCATGTTCATACTAAAAACGGCCTAGCAGAATCATTGATTAAACGTCTGCAATTGATAGTTAGGCCATTGCTAATGAGAACAAAGTTGTCCGTGTCTATGTGGGGGCATGTTATTCTGCATGCAGCAGCACTTGTGCACATAAGGCCGACCAATTATTATGAATTCTCCCCATTACAATTGGCTTTAAGAGCCAAACATTTTCCATCTTAGAATTTTTTGATGTGTGGTATATGTTCCAATTGCTCCACCACAACGCACAAAGATGGGGGCCCAAAGAAGATTGGGGATATATATTGGGTATGAATCTCATTCAATCATAAAATATTTGGAGCCTATGACTGGAGATTTATTTAAGGCAAGATTTGCTTATTGTCATTTTGATGAATCAATATGCCCAACATTAGGGGGAGAACATAAGCAGCTGGGAAAAGAGATAGATTGGAATGTATCATCACTATCTCATCTGGATCCTCAAACAAATCAATGTGAGCAAGAAGTTCAAAAAATAATTTATTTACAGAATATTGCGAATCAACTGCCAGATGCTTTTACTAATCTTCCAAGAATTACTAAATCGCATATTCCAGCTGCTAATGCTTCAGTTCGAGTTGATTTCCTGACGGGATAAATTGTTAAGGCAAATGAGTCTATACCACATTTAAAGCGTGGTAGACCAATTGGTTCCAAGGATAAAAATACTTGAAAGAGAAAAGGAATAAATGATCAAGATGATCATAGGTTGAAAGAAATTTCTCAAGATGAGACCCGAGTCATAACACATGATGAAACCTCCGAGGAGGTTCAAACTTCTGAAAATAATGAAATTTCAATGAATTATATCTCAATGAGAAAGAGGTGGAACCGAAATAATGTTATGATTGACAACATATGTGCTTATAATGTTGCTATTGAAATAATGCAACAAGATAAAGATTTTGAGCCAAAATCTGTTAACGAATGTAGATAGAGAAATGATTGGCCAAAATGGAAGGACGCAATTCAAGCAGAATTGGCTTCACTAGAAAAACGTGAAGTTTTCAGACCAATAATCTGAACACCTGAAGGTATCAAGCCAGTGGAGTACAAATGGGTTTTTTGTGCGAAAAAGATTTGACAAAGGTGAAGTTGTAATAAATAAAGCCCGACTTGTTGCTCAAGATTTTTCTCAAAGACCTGGCATTGATTACATGGAGATATATTCTCCTGTGGTAGATTCAATCACCTTCATATATCTCATAAATCTGGCAGTTCATGAAAAGCTTGAAATGTGCCTAATGGACGTTGTCACAGCCTATCTATATGGCTTATTGGACCATGACAATTTTATGAAAATTCCTGAAGCATACAAAGATTCAAGAGAGACTTGTTTAATAAAGCTTCAGAAATTTTTATATGGATTGAAACAGTCAGAGAGGATGTGGTACAATCGTCTGAGTGAATATTTGCCAAAGAAAGGGTACAAAAATGACCCGATTTGTCCCTGCATTTTCATTAAATGGTCGGAGTCTGAATTTGTTATAATAGCTGTGTATGTTGATGATTTGAACATCATTGGGACTCGTAAAGAGATGTTAGAAGCCGTGGAGTGTCTGAAAAGAGAATTTGAAATGAAAGATCTCGGCAAGACAAAATTTTGTCTTGGCCCACAGATTGAGAATTTGCCAAATGGAATACTTATCCATCAATCAACATACACAGAAAAGATATTAAAGCATTTTTACATGGATAAATCACATCCATTAAGTACCCCAATGGTGGTAAGATCGTTTGACATCAAAGCAGATCCATTTCGACCTCAAGAGAAGGACGAAGAGCTTCTTGGTGATGAAACTCCATATCTTAGTGCAGTCGGGGAACTAATGTACCTTGCTAACAATACTCGACCATATATTTGTTTTGCAGTGAGTTCACTGGTAAGATTCAGTTCCTCCCCAACAAAAAGACATTGGAATGGTGTTAAACACATACTTAGATATCTTTGGGGGACCATGGACATGGGTTTATTCTATTCCGATGAATCCAAGTCAGAACTAATTGGTTACGCAATGCCGGATATTTATCTGATCCGCATAAAGCTCGATCTCAAATAGGCTATTTGTTTACGTGTGGAGACATAGCAATATCTTGGCGATCAATGAAGCAAACGTTGGTATCCACTTCTTCGAATCATGCAGAAATAACAGCCATCCATGAAGCAAGTCGAGAGTGCGTCTGGTTGAGATCAATGACCCACCATATTCAGGAAATGTGTGGCTTTTCTTTGAAAAAGAATATATCAACCACAATGTACGAAGATAATGCTGCATGTATAACTCAATTGAAAGGAGGATACATCAAAGGAGACCGGACAAAGCATATTTCACCAAAGTTTTTTTCACACATGATCTTCAACAAAATGATGAGATAGAAGTTCAACAAATTCGTTCAAGTGATAATCTTGTTGATTTATTTACTAAGGCATTGCCAACATCAACGTTTGAGAAGTTGAGATACAAGATTGGAATGTGTCGTCTCCGAGATATCAAGTGAAGCTTTCATCAGGGGGAGTGAAATACGCGTTGTACTCTCTTCCTTAACTATGGTTTTGTCCCAAGTTGGGTTTTCTTAGTAAGGTTTTTAATGAGGTAACATTCAAAGAGTATTATGAGATGTGTGTACAATTTTTCCTTCACTAGGGTTTTTCCTAGTAAGGTTTTAAAGAGCCACATTATCTATGGACATCCAAGGGGGAATGTTATAAATCCATTGTATTATATATGTGGATTATCCATTACATTTATCCAAACAAATTGGATTCATGTATAGGTGATTCCGATGTGATAAGAACTTCTAAGATAACTATGTATCTACTGATTAGATAACTTTTGGGAGTGATATCTCAACACTATAAATAGAGATATCACTCACCATTTGGATGACACACTTGAATAAGAAAAGTTCTCCCTTCTCTATACTTCTTGTCTTCTTCTTATTATTATATTATATCATTCTGAGCTTTCTTTTATAACTAGATAATGTTGCCCGTGCTATGCACGGACCCAATAATATAAATGGTATATTATGGGGCTAATAACCGAGTTTTTGAAGCGATTGTTTACGTGGATAAATGAATAAGTTTTTTTATCACAAACATGTACTTTCTTTGACGCTATTTAAGGCATAATATAAGACTACCCACATACAACATTTTTGAAATATTTTATGTTGTCAATTATCATGATTTATAGTATTTTTACGATAGATTAACTTCAAGAATCAGTGGAATTTTTTGTATTTTTTTTTCAAAACATATTTTATGTTGTCAATTATCATGATTTATAGTATTTTTATGCAATTTTTAAATATAAAAAAAATAAGACAAATAAATTAAAATAGACCCAATATATGTTATTTTTGTTGTCTCAATTTATGTGACAAAAATGAAATTTGGAGAGTCATCCAAATTTTCATATTTTTTAAAAAAATGTTTGAAGTTATTAATTATTGTGATTTATAATATTTTTATGTAACTTTGAAATAATGTACATTACTGGTCACTTTGTCCTAATTTATGTGATAT